CATGTGTCATGTTATGTTATATAACATATGTCATGTCATGTTATATATCATGTTATATTATGTTATATAACACATGTCACGATACATATAACACATGTCAAGATACATCGTGTCATGTTATATAACATTTGTCATGTCATGTTATACATATGTCATGTATAACATATGTTCTATAACATATGTGTCATTTTATGGCATGTTATATAAAACATGTCATGTCATGTTACCACATATGTTATATAACATGTTTCATATCAGTATGTTATATAACATGTGCTATGTTATGTTATATAACATAGGTCATGTCATGTCATGTTATGTTATGTTATGACATGTGTCATGTTATGTTATATAATATATGTCATGTCATGTTATGTTATGTTATGTTATAATATGTGCTACGTTATGTTATATAACATGTGTCATGTTATGTTATATAACATGTGTCATGTCATGTTCTGTTATATACCATATGTCATGTCATGTTATATAAGATATGTTATAGAATATATGTCATGTTATGGTATATAACATGTGTTATATAACATGTGTCATGTTATGTTATATAACATATGTCATGTCATGTTAAATGTGTCATGTTATGTTATATAACATGTGTCATAATATGTTATGTGATATAACAGGTGTCATGTTATATTATAACATTGTCATGTTATGTTATATAACATGTGTCATATCATGTTATGTTATATAACATATGTCGTGTCATGTTACAACATATGTTATATAACTTGTGTCATGTTATGTTATATAACACATGTCATGTTATATCACATACATCGTGTCATGTTATAACATATGTTATATAACTGGTCATCTTATGTTATGTTGTATAACATATGTTGTTATATTCCTAGAATTTCACTCAACTAAGCAGGGACTGCCATTGGTTGATTCTTGGTCACGTGGCATTGACTAAAATCACATGTATCCCGATTTTGATACATTAAACAATGTATCCCGCTCGGGATACATTGCAGCACGTGATCAAAGCATGGTGGAAAGTGGCGTGACAGAAGGCGGGAAAAACACTGCCAGGTCCTGCCGGTTTTCTATTTCGTGAATGAACACAACAACAATCAGGAAGCCTCAAGCTAAAAAGCAGCGATTTTTAAAGTTATCCCAGAAGTTCCCAGACGAAAAACAGCAGCTAGTGGAGGAAAAAGATGCAGATGATATAAGGAAAGTACTTTTGTTTGTAAATCATTCATTCAGTGGTTTTGAGAATTAAATTTGTGTTGTTATAAGTTAACCGAGTCGACTGTTTTGGTTCGTTTTCGTTCACTCCGGTTATTCTTTTGTTGCTGTTGAAGTGAAAGTTCTAGAAATATAACAAAACACTTAATGTCAGATCCATCGGGAAACCAGTTAGTCTTGTTTTCCCGAGAGTCCTGATGTTTCCCGAGACGAAGTCCTGATGTTTCCCTTGGGATCTGACATTAAGTGTATATTATATAACATGTGCCATTTTATGGCATGTTATAGAACACATGTCATGTCATGTTACAACATATGTTATATAACATGTTTCATGTTATGTTACGTTAAAAAACATGTGCTATGTTATGTTATAAAACATGTGTCATGTCATGTCATGTTATGTTATGTTATGACATGTGTCATGTTATGTTATATAACATGGGTCATCTCATGTCATGTTACGTTATGACATGTGTCATGTTATCTTATATTACATGGGCCATGTCATGTTATGTTATATAACATGTGTCATAATATGTTATGTGATATAACAGGTGTCATGTTATATTATAACATTGTCTTGTTATGTTACATAACATGTGTCATGTCATGTCATGCTATATAACATATGTCATGTCATGTTAAATGTATCATGTTATATATGTTATATAACATGTGTCATAATATGTTATGTGATATAACAGGTGTCATGTTATATTATAACATTGTCTTGTTATGTTATATAACATGTGTCATGTCATGTCATGTTATATAACATATATCATGTCATGTTATAACATATGTTATATAAAATGTGTCATGTTATGTTATATAACATGTCATGTCATGTCATGGTAAGTTATGTTTGATAACATGTGTCATGTTATGCTATGTGATAAAACATGTGTCATCTTATGTTAAATAACATGTATCATGTTATAATTATTATAACATTGTCATGTTATGTTATATAACATGTGTCATGTCATGTTATGTTATATAACATGTGTCATGTCATGTTATGTTATATAACATATGTCATGTTATATGACATATGGTCGTGTCATGTTATAACATATGTTGTTATGTTAAAATAACACGCCATGTTATATAACATATGTCGTGTCATGTTATAACATATGTTATATAACATGTGTCATGTTATGTTATAACATATGTGATAAGACATGTGTCATGTTATGTTATATAACGTGTGTCATGTTATGTTATGTTATGTTATGTTATGTTATGAGATGGTTCATGTTATGTTATATCACATGGGTCATGTCATGTTATGTTATGTTATATAACATGTGTCACGTCATGTTATGTTATGTTATAACATAAGTTATATAACATGTCTCATGTTATGTTTTGTGATAAAACATGTGTCATCTTATGTTAAATAACATGTGTCATGTCACGTTATGTTATATAACAGATGTCATCTTTTATAACATATGGTCGTGTTATGTTTTAACATATGTTGTTATATTATATAACACATCATGTTATAAAACATATGTCGTGTCATGTTATAACATATGTTATATAACGTGTGTCATGTTATGTTATATAACATGTTTTATGTTATGTTTTATAACATATGATATAAAACATGTTTCATGTTATGTTATATAACATGTGCTATGTTATGTTATATAACATGTGCTATGTTATGTTAGTATATACACACTCAGTGATCTTGGTGATTTAAGCAATCTGATTGGTTCGCTATCTCGGACTATTCAACAATATTCACCTCCTAGCGAGTGGATAATGTGTGAGCTCGGTGTTTTTCCCGTTTTTTTTAGAGAACGATCTTTTAAAAGTCGACAAAATCCTAGGGCTGACTTTTTTTAAGGCAAGAAAAGACTTGGAAGGATTCAATACGGCGTTTTTCAATTTACTGTAGCAGGAGTTTTGTGCTCGATGGATTGTTTACAACTCCCGTGTATTCGCGTAGAAGAAGCCGTTTCGTGAACTCAGCGTTTTCTAAGAAGAAAATTTTGGCTCAAAAATCGAAGTTTATTTATGACAAACAAATTTAAAAGGAAATGTCTGCAGAAATTCTACATTTCAAGTAAACAGGAAAAAGAATGATACAGGAAGACGACCTCTTACCTCGAGCAACCGAGCCGCCATTTTTGTCAGCACTTCATGCGAAGAACGACACAACATGCCCTTTTGGCTATAAACTTGGCGAGTCAACAGAAAACAACACAGCTCTACTTTTTTTCTCAGGTAAGGAAACAGTTCAAACTTTTAGCGATTCCACTGAAGCCATTACGCTGTTGTTTGCGAAATGAGTAAACTTGTGAATTGCCATGTTTGAAAATTCTGCAAAGATCTATTTTTAAACTTACGCGTGATTTGATCTGTCAATCAAATCCTACTTTTGAATGGTTTCCTTTCTGATTTTGTTGAGATCACTTCGTGTGTATATACTAAAACAATTATTCTTCTCAATCTCGGTGAATAGTGGCTTTGGGAATATTTACCTCGCCGCTTTCGCGGCTCGGTAAATATTTTGCCACTATTCACCTCGATTTCAAAGAATAATTGTTAATTATATAACATATGTCATGGCATGTTATAACATTTGTTATATAACCTGTGTCATGTTATGTTATTCGATAAAACATGTGTCATGTTATATTATAACATTGTCATGTTACGTTATATAACATGTCATGTCATGTTATATAACATATGGTCGTTTCATGTTATAACATATGTTGTTGTGTTATGTTATATAACATATGCCGTGTCATGTTATGTTATATAACATATGTTATATAACGTGTTATGTTATGTTATGTTGCATAACATATGTTATATAACATGTGTCATGCCATTTCATGTTATGTTATGTTATAACATGTGTCATGTTATGGCATGATATATAACATATGTCATGGCATGTTATAACATATGTTATATAACATGTTTTATGTTATGTTATATAACATGTGTCATGTTATGTTATTTAAAATGTGTCATGTTATGTTATATAACATGTGTCATGTTATGTTATGTTATAACATGTGTCATGTTATGTTATATAACATGGGTCATGTCATGTTATATAACATATGTCATGTTATAACATATGTTATATAACATGTGTCATGTTATGTTTTATAACATTTGTCATGTTGTTATAACATGTGTCATGTGTCATGTGTCATGTTATGTTATGTTATATAACATATGTCATGTCATGTTATGTTACATAACATATCTCATGTTATATAACATGTGTATGTCATCTTTTAACATATGTTATATAACATGTGTCATGTTATTTTATGTTATATAACATATGTTAAAAGGTTGAGTTTGATCGTCCGGGTGAGCCTAGTCCTGAATAGGACTGTTGTTGTTGACAGTGACTGACGTTTTGGCAACCTGTGCGGTAGTCATCTTCAGAGTGAAAGTGAGTTGTATCACATTAGTTGATGGTATTATACTCTGGTTATTGATCTGATTGGTCAATTATGTCGCGATGTTATTGGTCGACTGTCAGTTAAGCCGTGATGTTATTGGCTATGAAGACTCGTAATCAGTGATTGGTGCGTTTCGATCCGTCTATTGTTACAGTTAAACAGTCGTCTATTTTTAGTCAAATTGTCAGTTCTCCAGCTGTTCTCTCGTAGTTAGTTTTGCTTGATCTCGTCAATAAGTCGTTTGCACGGCGCTGGTAACTGTTGGCTACGATTCAGTGGCGTTTGTTCTAAGTTAGTAAACCAGCTTTCTAAAGTAAGACCTTGATAGTAGTCTGTAGAGTACGTTATATATGTCGCAGAGTCCCAGTCAATTTGATGTTTCGTCTTTAAATGGTGCACAGCAATGTGATTGTTGACGTCACCATTCCTCGTCGCGCGTTTGTGTTCGGTTAGTCGCGTGCTTAGGTTTCTGCCGGTTTCACCAATGTAATAAGCCTGGCAGTCGCAGCATTTGATCTTGTATACTGTTCCCTGTCTGTCTTCCGGTTTGTTTTTGTCCTTGACATTAGTAAGCAGTTGCCGTAAAGTGGTTATCGGTTTGTGCGCAACACGTATATTGTAAGGTTGTAATATACGTGCAATAGTTTCAGAGGTGCCTCTGATGTACGGTATAGTCGCTGTCGTAACAGGGCCAGAGTTGGTCTGAGAGTTGGAATCAGTGTTACTGTGAGTGTTCCGTCTAACAAAGTCCGTGTTGTATTTGTTCTTACTAAAAACGTTGTTGAGATAAACAGTCTCGTCTTGTAGGCTGTCAGGTGAGTCGCAAACTAGTTGCGCTCGTCTCATCAGAGTCCGGATAGTAGTCGCCTTGTGAGAGGTCGGTTTGTACGAAGACTGGTCTAGTAATCGGTCGATATGTGTCGGTTTTCTGTAAATAGTCGTTTTTAGTTTGTTGTTGTCGCGAGTTACCAAGCAGTCTAGAAAAGGTATCTTACCATTTTCTTCGATCTCCTTGGTGAACTGTATGTATGAACTGTATGTCCGCGTTCTGTCTGTTGAGGTGTTCGTGAAAATCGTCGATTCCGTCTTTGTGTACGGCGGTGAATGTGTCGTCAACGTAACGTAACCAAAGAGGTACAGTTCGCGTGTAGATAGCTAGAGCTTGTTCCTCGATGTTTTGCATGACAATTTCTGCTACAACAACAGAAACTGGAGAGCCCATAGCTGTACCGTGTAACTGTTTGTAGTGTTTGCGGGCGTCTGGAAAAACCGGAAACCGGAATCCGGAATAGGAACGGGAATGGGAACAGGAACCGGAACCGGAACCGGAACCGGAGACAGCAACGGAACAGAAACAGCAATGTGAAGGGGAACCGATACAAGAACAGGGATATTATTTACTTTAAATTATTTTAATTCGAACACTACTCTGGCATCATGCTCCCCCCCGAATCTCTTTATAATACGGCAGCGAGGAGGTAGAAAAAGCCGCAAGTTAAATAAGTAAAGCAACAGCTTTGCGAGTGCATCGTATCGCGCTTTCTGTCAAATTCTTCACCGCGTATGCACAACTATGATTTAAATGATCAAATCTTAAGTTCTCTTAAGAACGTGAACGGCAGGCAATAAATTTTATTGTGTCTTTCTGAGCTCGGACGCGGTCTCCAGCTTCATTTCCCAACCTTTAAAAGACTGGACAATTTGGAATTAATGAGAAATAGTTTGAATTAAGACCCGAACTCAGTTTCTCAGTGGCGTTTTCGCTGGCGTTGCCGTCGTCAGATCTTAAGGTTCCTTTTGTCTCTCACAGGAAGGTGGTTATCACATGTTAATATTATTTGTCAGACCATGTGTATACGAGACACCCATCGGAGACGTTTATTGGGCTGCCATACACCTCAGGTTTGCTCCATAGATATATTGTACGGTGCTAAATTGGGAAGTTAACCAGAGATAGATAGTCCACAGCTTAAAAAGGGTATTAACATGTACTTCCTCCCCCCCCACCCAAAACCCATCTCAGCGGCCAGTACTTCAGCTACCTCAACTGCGTGCAATAGGGACCTTAATAAGCAAGCAGAACGTTGACGTCCAGGACATTAAAAATGGAAACTGGAAGTGGATGTTTTCTGTCTTTAGGTGCTCTGACTCAACAAATTCGCACACTGGAAGGTAAGAGGAAGAACATGACATATGTTATATAACATAACATGACACATGTTATATAACATAACATGACACATGACACATGTTATATAACATAACATGTCATGACATATGTTATATAACAAAACATGACATGACACATGTTATATAACATATGTTAAGACAATACAGATACCGGACGACCACAAACTAGTGTCCTTCGACGTGAAATCGTTGTTCGCCAGTATTCCACTTCAACTGGCTCTAGACTGTACTGAGAACGCTATTAAGAACTCTACTGTTGAAGTACCACTACCTACAGACGACATTATGGACCTACTCAACCTCTATTTGACTTCGACGTACTTTCAGTACAACGGCAAACACTGGGCGTCTGGAAAAGCGGGAATCCGGAATCGGGAATAGGAACGGGAATAGGAACAGGAACAGGAACCGGAACCGGAATAGGAACCGGAATGGGAAGAGAAACCTATATAAAAGCAGGGACAACATTTACCTTAATTTAAGTTAATCTGGATTTAATTCCTGTTCAGATTATATACGAAAAATAAGGGAAAAATAGAATAGGAACCGGAATAGGAACGGAAATATAAACAGTGTATAGAATATGAAAAGAAAAAGATATAATCGTGATATAAATAAAAAGCCAGAGAAATAATTAAAG